GCTACTGGATAGTGTATCATTCACGAAGCACCTTTGCTTACGATCAGACAGATAAGATTTAAACCAGCCTAGAGCACTGCAATCAACTCCATAGCATTCAAGTTTATTTATGAGAATTTCGTGATCAATAGTATCAAAGGCCTTTTTGAGGTCAATGAAAATAACTCCATTTACCAGACCATTATCGATATTTACGCACCAGTCATTTGTCGATTCGAGTAGAGCCGTTACAGTGCTGTAAGTAGGTCGAAATCCCGATTGTTGATGCGAGAATAGATCATTCACTGACAAGTACTCGTTCTCAATCGCTTCTCCCGCGTTGAATGTTGAGAATGAACATGTCCATGGGCCTTTGCGTTCTATTATTCCAACCTCCAAACCCTGCCTTACAAGCTGATCTTAACTTTTTCAAAGCAGATTTGACTGTGGGAGAGTGAGGTAAGATCCCACCTTGTACTACAAGACAAACTCATACTCAGTGTATTTTTCACCTTTACTTCAGATCAATGAAGTGTTGGACATCTTCTGTAATGCCAGAACATTAATTTGCACTAATTCAACACGTTGTCTGAAAGTTTATGAAGTATTTTTTGACTCTAAGGAACATCGCGTACTCGGAGGTGAGTCATCGGAAAGGACTATAGCGTCAATGTTTGTGTTTTATTTATATAATAGTATTAACACAACTATTTTTTATTTCTAGTCAATGTTAAAATCAATGTTCTTGAGAAGATGCGTGTGATCAGTCAAATCAAAGTATGTCATGTTTATCAGTTATATATACCTGGAGATACATACCATATAGTTCAAAACCGCGGCCTAACCGCAACAGAACCGCGGCCTAACCTCACCTAAACCGCATTATTTGATCCACCACAGTTTCAACTTTTTTTTAAAATAGGGTGAGAGCAGCTTCCATATCTTCCATCGTTTGTTAAATGGGCTCAATTCAGAGCAATTGCAGAAATACCTCCTTGACGAGGACCACAGGTAACGGCGTGATTTATAAGACGATCCAGTGAAGACGATGACCCTCTCAACAATATTTTCAAAGTTTCTAAATGATTGACTATTTTTTCTTATACAGATATGTACCTTCGCTACCTAGAGAAGCGTTTTGTGAAAGTGATAATTCCCTCTCACAGTCTCTGAAATGTTTAGAGAGAATAGGATTCAATGAAAAGGTTGGTGCTTGTCGAAGTAAACTAACTTTATTTATACTGCAGAGCTCTATCAGTTCCAAATTGTTCTCCCTGGAGATCCAGTAAGAGTCATCTCTTATTAATCCAGTGTTACTACAGGAGAAAACCTAAACTAACTTTATTTATACTGGATAGCTCTATCTGTTCCAAATTGTTCTCCCTGGAGGTCCAGTAAGGATCATCTCTTATTGATCCAGCGTTACTACAGGAGGAAACCTAAACTAAACTAACTTTATTTATACTGGATAGTTCTAACAGTTCTAAACTGTTCTTCCTAGAGATCCAGTCAGAGTCATTTCTTATTGATCCAGTGTTACTACAGAAGGAAACCTAAACTAACTTTATTTATACTGGATAGTTCTATCAGTTCTAAACTGTTCTTCCTAGAGGTCCAGTAAGTATCATCTCTTATTGATCCAGTGTTACTACAGGAGGAAACCTAAACTAAACTAACTTTATTTATACTGGATAGTTCTAACAGTTCTAAACTGTTCTTCCTAGAGGTCCAGTAAGGATCATCTCTTATTGATCCAGTGTTACTACAGGAAGAAGCCGGAATACCTAAAGAAAACCTGTGGTGTTTGGTAGAGTCAAACTGGAAGCAATCTTCTCACATGAGACTGAGGTGAAATTATTATCAGACAACTGCATATTGCAGGAATCAAAACCTGGTCACAGAGGTGATAAATTTACCATTGTGTCGCCAACACGTCTTGACGTTAGAAATATTTATGGTTGGGTTGTTATGTTTTAGGAAATTGAAGAAGTGCTCCACCTCGTATCCGCCATTTTGCTCCTGGGAGATTTACAGTTTGGTGAATCAAACAAGAGAGACGTGCTGGCATTCCGTAATGGCGAAGTTCTTGAGAAAGGTAGCTCATCAAATTCTTCAATTGAAATGTATGCCGTGAATATTTTATACATATCTTTACTTCTATTTTAAGCTGCTACCTTAGTTGGAGTTCCGTGCGCAACTTTGGCCAGCCTGATAATTACAGAATCAAAGACTGTTCGTGGTAAGCAATATAGTACTGGAGCTCGGAGGTTGCCTTCTCGGATTCTTGTCGTGCTTTTCAATTCCTTGTCAATTAGAGCTGTGCGGTTAACCGAAAAATTCGGTTCTTCCGGTACTTTTTTTAGCACCGAAAATTATGCGCAAAAGAACCGGTAGTTTCGGTTTTAATTTCCCGTTTAACGCCCGCCAAACGCCCACCTGATTGCAGGTTGAAATGTTTGGAAAATAACAAGATTGGGCTCTTTGTGCACAATATGCACTGTACTAAGTGCTCAAATAGTTGATATTTTAGTTGTGATAGTTATTGTTGTGCACTTGCTTGTTAAAAAGAAATATTTCATGTTCATAAATAAATTCCAATTGTTCTTTTAAAATTTTCAGAGATTTATACAAACTTACAAAGGCATATAAATTCATCTATTTAGTAAAAATGCTCGAAACATACATAAATGAGTTCGTACATTTGTACTGTTCTTCTTTTTTGAAAATAACCGAAACCGAACCGAACCGAGGTTTTTCTGTTCCAAAAAAACCGGAACCGAAACCGAGATAAAATTTTTGGAACCGCACAGCTCTATTGTCAATGTCCATCCACAGTTTGATCATTTTTAGATATCTCTTTTACACATCTCTTTCGCTCTGCTCATCCTCTTCAGCCCAGCTTTAGTTTTCTTATTTTGCGTTTCAGTTTTCTTGGCATTTTACGAGTAAGGTTTCTGTTTCCACACCTAGGTCGAAAGGTGAATATATCAGCATCGTGTTCAAAGGCGATGTACGAGTGTGATTGTATGGCGGTGTTTTGTTATGAAACATTGGTCATGTGGATTGAAGCAAGAATCAATTCCAGATACAATGGCCATTCAAGGTACACCTGACGGCCGTGGCCGGGGGAGGCAGGGGGGGGGGCATGGCCCCCCTATTGTCGAGACCCGTCGGAAAATTGGAAATTTGTTATGTTGTTGGAAACTTCGTGGTCAAGCATACCTACATATACGAGCGGGAATTTTACTTCTCTTAGAAATCGGTCTCGATTTACGTTTTCCCAATATACATTTATAGAATAGTCAATATTTAATTCAATATGACTTCATATATTATTTATGTCGGAAAAAATTGTGTTTGTCGTAAAAATCCTGCCCTTGCTCCCCCCCCCCCCTAAAACATGGGACGTCCCTTCCTGACGGTCAATGTAGGTAGTGCCAAGCTAATGTTTTAATGAAACTTACTTGTATAAACCTATACATCAAAAAGCTATTTTCTTCTACAGATTACAATCTGATTTTTCACTGATGTTACTGGATGTCTTTGGGTGGGAAAATTATAGTATTTCTTCCTTTGACCAACTATGCATCAACACAGTGAACGAAGTTCTGCAGTCCGCGTACAACGCCATTGTCTTTCAAACATATCAGGTAGAAACACCTCTTTTTTATAGTTGAGTGTTTTTTTTTAATCTTCTGTGATCTTTCCTACTTATTTCCATTATTTCTAATCTAATGGGTTTTTTATGAAGACGGACATGGAGAATGAAGATATCTACTTGAGTGAATCTTGTCAAAAGTATGGTCAACCTGGTGCTGTGCCTTTTCTTCTTAAAGTAAGAAATATTTCAGAGTAGAACAGTACTCTGTGATATCTGATACAGCTGAAAGGAGTTTAGGTAGATTTAACATTTCTCTCTTTTCTTAAGCCCAAAGGTCTCTTTGATGTTCTACACAGCAACACCGACAATGATCAAAATTTATTGAAAAAGTTTGATAGTTCATTTAAGAAAGAACCACGGTATATCACCAACGACAATCAAGAATTCTCTGGATTTTTAATCGAACATTTTATTGACGAGGTAGGTTTTGTTTGTGTTAAACACACTGAGTCAGTAGTTCCGTCAAACATTTCTTACAAATCCTTCAAAACTTAGAATTTACCTGTGCAAAATTCCTACTGTGATCACAGAAACTTGGATAGTGTGAACCATTAAGAAGATAAAATGTTTTCTATCGTAGGTTTCATATGACATCACTGGGTTTGTAGCTCAGTCAAAGAACAGGTTCAACAACAATGTTTTGGCTTGCCTCAAAGGTAACGAAGGAAACCTATTCCAAGATTCTTGGAAATGATAGCACGTGTTTTTTATCTTCATTTATGTGTTGCAGGTTCCAAGAACAAAGTGGTGTCCGTCATGGCACAAGAACGAATCACCAGGTAGGATGTGGTTTCGTGTGACTTATACAACTACAGTACAGGTTTTAATTATTTCTTTTTGTACTCAGAGAAAATACATCGTTAGAGAAAGCCTCATCGTCTCCGTCAAGGTAACTTTCTCAAAATTTTACCTTTATCAGTATTTTCTACCTTTTCAAGAACTCAGCTAAACTTTTTCAATTCATATTTTTCTACAAGCTCCAAGAAACGTTCGGTGGTCGAAAAAGACTGGCTTAAAACGTAAGTTCACAAAATACGTGACTATTTTTCATGTTATGTAATTAATGGTAAGTAACTCTTTCGTGTATTTCAAGTAACGTATTCCTGACAAATTCTGGCAAGGAGAAAAAGAAATATTCTTCAATAAAGAATTCGAATCCAGCTGTTTTAACGGTAGGTGTTCATTTAAAGCGTTTTTAAGAGTTCATTTCTGAGAATGAAAATGTTCAAGCTGTTATTTTTTATTTAAGATGTCGTTAACATCACTTCTCAAGCGAATGTCGTCCTCAAAAGTTTATTTTATCAGGTACGTTGACGGGGACATAGTTCTTATTGCTCGCAATTTTGTCAATTGAAATCAACGAAAACTGTTGTTTTCAAAAGCTGCGAGGCATCTCATACAGTAATCAATGATATTTATATTTTAATCAACTACAGATGCATCAACAGTAACCTGCGTATGCAACCTGGTATCTTTGATCGCGAGAGGGTATTACGTCAGGTTCAGTGGAGTAAGCTTTATGGAATTGTCAAGACCAGGATGCCTTGTCTCAAGACGTGGTTTTCATTATCAGAATTCATCACCAGGTGAGCAATAGTTGAGTTTGAACACAGTCAGATACTTTGTACACAGAATGAAGACACACAGAAGGTCGACTCAGCCAAAAAAGCCTAACCGCTGCCACGCCATGATTCGTCATCAAAATGCTGACGCCATGGTCCTAGCCAGTGCGTTATGAGAGGCATTCCCCCCTTATAAACATGTCACTAATAAAAGTACTATGGTTTAGAACTTATAGAGCTATCCAAATAAATATAAAAGATATTTTCCTTTATATTTTAGATACAGATTATTATTCTTCCATCTAACTAGTCCAGTATCTCCCTCACCTGAACTGTGCCACTCTGTCTTGAGCAAGAGGTTTGAGGAGTCTCAATATAGAGCTGGAAAAACCAAGGTAACACCTACTACTCTAAATCTTTGGTTTCAAATACATTGTTTAAGGTGTCTGTGCTCGCAATTTCTTCTAGGTTTTTCTATCAAGAAGTCTTGTTCTCGAATTAGATGAGAAGCTGAAAAAGAGAGTACTTCAAGTTATTCTTATTCAAAAGGGTAAGGATATGGGATTGATGTTGTAGTATTTCGCGTTGTCTAAATATGGTGAAGTTATTTTTCAATACTAAATTTCATTTAATGTCTCAAATCCACCTTAAGCTTGTTCCTTAGTCAAGTGAATTTTCGTAAACGTGCAGGTCAATTGTAGGTACAGTAGTAAATCTACCACAAGCCCCGTGGTTTGTATCTGATCTACCTAGAAACATTTAAATACATTTCAACGTTTTAATGTCCAATATCTATCAACCTAATAAAGTAAAGCGTATGTAAATACATGATTACGTTTGTTTAAGTTTATCGAGGCATGCTTGCCAGAAAACAATATCAAGCCATGATCAAGATAAAGAATAAATACGATGATCAACGTTCATTATTTTTCTCTGAGGTATTTTCCTAAACTAACTTTATTTATGCAGGGTAAGTCTTCCTAAAGGTGCAGTAAGGATCATCTCTTATTGATCCAGTGTTACTACAGGAAGAAACCTAACCTAAACTAACTTTATTTATACTGGATAGCTCTATCAGTTCTAATCTGTTCTTCCTAGAGATCCAGTAAGGATCATATGTTATTGATCCAGTGTTACTACAGGAGGAAACCTAAACTAAACTAACTTTATTTATACTGGATAGCTCTATCAGTTCTAAACTGTTCTTCCTAATGGTCGAGTAAGAATCATCTCTTATTGATCCAGTGTTACTACAGGAGGAAACCTAAACTAAACTAACTTTATTTATACTGGATAGCTCTATCAGTTCTAAACTGTTCTTCCTAGAGATCCAGTAAGGATCGTATCTTATTGATCCAGTGTTACTACAGGAGGAAACCTAAACTAAACTAACTTTATTTATACTGGATAGCTCTATCAGTTCTAAACTGTTCTTCCTAGAGATCCAGTAAGGATCGTATCTTATTGATCCAGTGTTACTACAGGAGGAAACCTAAACTAAACTAACTTTATTTATACTGGATAGCTCTATCAGTTCTGAACTGTTCTTCCTAGAGGTCCATGCAGTTAAGAACAATGCTTTGATTTCTGTACGTGTTTTTAGATCACTGCTGGCATATCAAAATTTCACGATCATCTATCACTTCAAATATCTGAAGACCAGAGACGACTCAAGCAATATAAATTAAAGGTTTATAGCCATTATTTTATTAACTACAACTTGATGTGTAGACATGTTCACATGTTCAATTTTCTTAATCAGGAAGAATGGAAGAAAAGCGAAACAAATGAAAAGAATGATGCACAGTAAGTATAGATTCTCACATGTGACTAGATAGAGAAATCCATCTTGTTTGGTCGACCCTAATCCTAACCTGAATCCTAACTCTAATTCTTCATATTTAACCTTGCTTATTTATAGAAACAACCAAGCAGGAACAAGTCCGAGCAGTCCAGGTACAATTTTGACAAGAATTACTAAATGAATATTGAGGAATTTCGTGGCAAGGTGGATGTCGCTTCTGTAACTATTTCAGTCAGCCATATGTGAACTGTTCACTCAGTATTTTCTCTTCTAGGTGGTCGTACGTCGTATGTATGGGGTGACGAGGTTAGTTAACTTTGAACGTTTGCTTCCTCGTAGTGCTTAAGTCCAATTTACACTGCAGTTGTGTGCTTGATTTACACAGTATACAATTTGTAAGCAGGTTGCATGCGACGGTTTTAGGCAAAAGTTGTGCGCTTGTTTTACACAGTATACAATTTGTAAGTAGGTTGCATGCGACGGTTTTAGGCAAAAGTTGTGTGCTTGTTTTACACAGTGCAATTCAAGTTGTGAGCAGGTTGCATGCGACGGTTTTAGGCAAAAGTTGTGTAGTTGTAAATCGGCCTTTACCGAAACCCACCAATAGGATTTCAAATATGTACTTCTAGGTGATTATTGATGAAACGTCGGAATCATCAACTTGGTGTAAGATTGTTTGTTTTCAACGCACGAAGCAGTTGGCATTGTTTAGCGTGAAGGATCCCAAAGTCGTCATAAATGGCAGCAATCATAGTTTCACCGCAGACAGGTGCGTATGAAGTGATGGCTTTCACTAAGCACTATCGTGCAGCAGATGATGGTCAACCTGCAGTTATGAGAAGATAATCTTCATTCTTTTCATTATATGTAGTAGTCTTGTATTTGGAGAAAAATCAATAACAATTGAGAGATGTTGCTTAATTTTCCTAATCTGGTATCTCACTATTCGTCCTTCGTAAAACATCCATCTGTAATTTATTTTACATTTCAGAATTGGTTTCAATTCATTTCCAACCCCAAGTCAAGACAAACAAATGAAGAAAGTGAAAGCTTGTATTGGGAGGGTAAGCTACAGTTGAGTCTCGTTTCTTATCGTTTCTTTGTTGATTTCTTATTGTTGAAACCTTTCCAGGGTGTTGAGCTGTACCTTGCAACAGACGGAAGTTTAATTGCAGTCAGGTTATGCAAGAACCCAATTTTTGTCAAGGTAAGTCGACCAGGCCGAAGACTTGGCTAAGCAACATTAATTTTCTAAATATTGTATTGAAGCAACTGTACTGCAAATATAGTCTTGTATAAAGATTATATAAAGGCTGGTTTACACTATCAAAGTTTCTGTGATCACAGTAGGAATTTTGCATAGGTAAATTCTAAGTTTGAAGGATTTGTAAGAAATGTTTGAGGGAACTTAATGAGTGTTATAAAGGATGGTTTACACTATCAAAGTTTCTGTGATCACAGTAGGAATTTTGCATAGGTAAATTCTAAGTTTTGAAGTATTTGTAAGAAATGTTTGAGGGAACTCACTCAGGGTTAAATACTGAGTCAGTTCGTCAGTTCACAAGCGTAGAATTCAAAATTGAAAAATTCCTACTGTGATCAGAGAAACTTTGATAGTACAAACCAGGCTTTAGACAAGTTTATCTTTAGGGGTATTTCTGTGAAGACAAGTTGCTGCAAACTCTGGGGGAGCTGTTCAAGAATGAAGAATCAAAGGTCGATACTGTAACATGTTTCCACGTATATAATAAAAAAAAAGAAAAAGAAAAAAGGGCCCACAGTAATTGGTACCATACTGTTGTGGCCGGTGACCCTGCCATGAATGCATGACAATGGCGAAGTTAAATAAATAGGAAAATTGGCCCGCCCCTATAACTGTCAATATGTTTGATCTCGACCATCATGTGTAACAAGCATATAAAGCATGACATGCTTTTCTTTAGCTCTTCAATTACGGACGTTTTATCGAGAAAATCAACTATGAATGCCACCCAGCAAGACTGACCATAGACAGTGAGGACAGATGTCTGGCAATGTGTGTTGTTCATCTTTGTTTTGTGAAGAACAGCGTGAATGACGATGACTCTCCCTGTTGGGTCGAGGTTGTCTTGACTCGAGCAGTTCAATATGTCAAACGTAAGTGGAATTTCAAACCTATATGAGCTGTCATGCTTTGTGTCTGAACTACCTGAAAAAGATTAACTTAAAACATTGGAAGTTTCAAGCCAGAATCAAAATATTGAAATGTTCAGTGTAGGTTTTCTCTTACAGCAATACTAGACCAATATACGAGATGGTAATTACTGTACTTCTTGGTAAAACAGTTTAAACTAAAAGAGCTATCCAGCATAACATATATTTGATCCCTAGACGCGGTTTCACTCTCAATGCAACGAAGAAGGGAAGTCCAGGAGAAATATCATTTTCAAGAACCGCCAGCGCTTAGAATGGATTCCAAAATGGAGTCAACTTCAGCCAAGATTCTGAAACTCATCCGACCAAGTCGCTATATTGAGACGGTGAAGTTTAAACGCAAGGCGTGGGCTCGAAAGAGAGTTGTCAGCAATCCTTTTTTGTATGGGGAAGTCTCGTTCAGTGAGGATGATAGGAGCGAGAGCGCTTCTCTTTGTTCACCTGAGAGCAGTTTCGCAGAGGAAACAGGGTTTGAATCTAATGAAGAGATTTGTAATTCGCCTAAGAATGAAGAGCAAGAGTTGTATGAAAATGTACAGATTCGCAATGTGCAAGGTAAGCGGGAAATGGCCAGGAGTCAGAGTGCATTCTTACCTGACAGCAGCTTTGCAGAACAGTCAATGTTTGAATCTGGGGAAAAGGTGTCTACTTTGCCTGCACGCGGAAGACAAAATCTTTATGAAAATGTACAGGTTGAAACCGTGAAATGGCAAAACTTCTTTAAAACAAGCGGTAATGTATCTGATAGTTTGAAAGAAGATGGGAGCAGAAACGTGAATGTAGAAATTCATAGTTCATCAGAAAAAGGCGGTCAAGATCTTTATGAAAATGTACACATACAGAAAAATGTCAGAAACGCGGAAGGCCAAAAGTTCACACCTGAGAAAAACCAGCAGAGAGAAAGAAGAAAAGTGATTCAGGTTCAGTCTAAATCTGATGGCCAGAATAAAAGCAGACAAGTGAATCAGGTCGATTCTCGAAGTGGCTCGAATCAGTCACTTCCAAACCGTCCCCCAACCAGTGTGGGTCCTGGCATATCTCCCATGATGGTCAAAGGAATGACTGATGTTAATATTCCTGAAAAGTTAGATAATACGTCAATGAATGACACCGAGGATTTGTATGTTAATTCTGAAAGTTACAACACCTCTTGTAAGTCTTCGTCAAACGAGGAAGGTGAAATGTGTCACACTGCAAGAAAGATGTCATTGGATCACGCAGAGTCTGGGGTAAGAGAGGAAGTACATGTAGATTCCAGTGGCAGAGTTCGCCTGAGTTCTCAGGTTTTCCATTCGCGTGGTGTAGGAGATTCTAGAACGCCGAGAAAGTCATTGAATCGTGTGACTGAACAGTCTGGCATGAAAGAAAGAGAATATGAAATGCACTCAGGCACTGATATTCAGCATGATTTCCCAAGCCCTGATTACCTGGATAACGACCCAGTCTACACGAACTTACTTCAGATGCAAAAAGATGAAAACGTCTTGAGAGATGAGCTGAGTAAGCAGAGTGAAGATGTGTACGAGGTCATGAGCAGAGGCAGCCATCATGAAATGGTTTATCACAGTGAAGAACAGTATGTCAATTATTCTGCATCAAGCAGACAATATTTACAACAACGAAAAAGTAAGGTTGGAATGACACCATCCGTTGATTTCTCAGGTGAAGAATCATCTCAAGAGTTGGTGAAACATCGAATGTCATTTCCGCGCCTCTAACCAGCAATGTAACTCTTACCTAACCATAAACCTTACCACAACCTTACTTAACCTACCCGAACCTAAACCCAACCCTAATCTAAGAAATGTCTTTGCATGCCATAAACAGAAGTAATATCATAATTAATATGAGTTTAGATAATTATTTGGTAGCTAATTATACTGTAGATTGCTTCAAATGCTTGTTACAAACAAGGAAATTCGCCTGAAAAAACAGTGTTGACATATCTGCAAGTGTTTATCGCTAGATACCAACAACGGAAGCAGAATCTACTGACTACATATGAGTGTTAATGTGAGACACTGCTAGTGTTCATCGTTAGGTGCCAACAACGGTTAGGACAATCTATGTAGTGCGGGCTCGTATTAAAGAAATAATTCAAATAAATAAATTGTAGTTTTATTTTTCTGTATTTTTGTATTAATTTTGAAGGTTTTTAATGCTAAAGATCTATTACACTTCTTCAAAAGTTTATTACAGGTAATTATTGAGTATCTAATATTATAATACAGTCATTTTTACTGCAATTTATGCAGCTACCACTGTTTAATTATGGCAGTCAAATTTCGTATAAATACACAAATATTGCAGCATGCTTTTACTGCTCGCATGCTCAAAATATTTTCACTGAGTCATATCGCTAAAATGGCGAGTGCTTTTCTTTATTACTTACTTGAAAAAGAAATATAAATAAATACATAGCAAATATCAAAACAGACAAAACTGCTAGCCTTGTGATTTAAGTCAAGGGTCAAGTGGGGTTTGACTGTGTTGAGGGCCAATGAGGGGGCGGTCGATAACTCCCTACTTAGGCCACATAAAAAAAATAGTTGGTTAGCGTCCCCGCCCGCCCACAAAAAAGGCCGCGCTCAGGATTTTTTTAAATTTTTTATTTAAAAACCCCTGACATTTATTGATCAACGGGCTCTAATATATGTAGTATTTCTGTTGACTGTAGTCAATTGTGTTAATAATTTGCGAAATTGCATGCGAAAATGACGGTATGAATTATATTTTGAAATATATAAAAAAATATCTGTACTGCGCAAGAAAATCCAGCTTCGGACCTAACAGTGAGTAAAACCATGGCGTTAAAAATTAGTAAAAAGTAAAAAAAAAAGCGCCCGCCCGCCCACTTTTTGGCAAAAGCTAAGGACGCTAACCAACTATTTTTTTTTATATGGCCTTAAATCTAATTTCTCTATTTTAGGTGTGCATCGGTTCACAAGAATTGATGTCTTTACGACATTTAAAACGACTTATTCTTGCAAGAAACCATGGAAATTTATCTAAACCTTTAAGAAGTATATCAAGCCATACTCTTCCTGTAATTAATGGAGATATTGACATTCAATCTTCAGACTTTCATAGAAAAAAAGACTTGTATGCAAAATTCCATGAAAAATATATCGAAGATTTATCAAGTTTAGATTCTGGTGCAAACCAAAAAGCCATTGATCGTCATGTTAAAATTAACAAAAAACTTCTCCTGAAAGATAGGCTTGCCGCTATTCTTGATCCGGGATCAGATTTTTTAGAACTATCACCACTAGCAGGGTTTAGTTTGGAATACGGCGAGATCCAGCGTGCTGGTATTTTGTCTGGTATTGGCAAGATCTCAGGTCAGCCGGTGGTTATTCAAGCCAATGATGCAACAGTTAAAGGCGGCACAGCTTACCCAATCACTGTGAAGAAACAACTTCGAGCACAAGAGATTGCAGAGGAAAATAATTTGCCATGTTTGTATCTGATCGACAGTGGTGGAGCGTTTTTACCATTACAGGTGTGACTTGTATGGTGGTCATTTTATATGGCACTTGTTGATGGTATTGTGTTTTATAAATTTATTTACTCTAGTAGTTATGTAGCCTGTGAAAACAGCTGTGGAACGAGACAATCAAGTGACTGTTTTTGCAGGCTACTAGGAAGGTTGACAGTCTTGCCAAGATCCAGCAAAATCTAATCCTCTAAGATCTGCTGGCACACTACAATTGGTTAGATTTTCACGCCTGAATTAACCCAAAATATTTTCAGGCAGATATCTTTCCAGATGAGCAACACGGTGGCAGAGTGTTTTATAATGAGGCTATCATGAGTTCAAAACATATACCACAGGTAGAGTTCTTATTTATCTAACACCAGGTGATTTTACTCAAGGGGAGAGCAATGGCACTCGATAGGTTAATGGGTTTTATTGCATGATGGTGATTGATTCTAGAAAACATCCACACTATCCCCAGGGAGGAAATTTCCACCATCTGGTGGGGAGAAAAAGTTTGTTCTGATAATAGGACATTTGAAGGGGGTAACTTCTTATTAACTCTGTGGGTGAGGTCTGAATGTTTTCTGGAATAAGCCATTGTTTACTAAATTTCTAGGTTTGTGTTGTGTGTGGCTCATGCACTGCTGGTGGTGCGTATGTTCCAACGATGGCAGATCGAACTGTGATAGTAAATAAGATTGGGACGATATTTCTTGCAGGTCCACCTTTAGTCAAGGTAACATGTGAAACACCAAACGCTGGTGTATGAGCAACCTCGTACCCAGGCTTGCTCCTCCCTGATGGTGAGAACTGTAGAGGCGAGAGCCTGGTTAGGAGGTTGGTATATGAGCAGTGGAGGCCGCAACAGGTGAAATATATTGACTATATATATTTTGTTATGTCTTTGAAGGCCGCAACAGGTGAAATAGTGTCGGCAGAAGATCTGGGTGGGGCTACAGTGCATTGCAGGTAAATGGTATTTTGGATCACCATCAAATACTGGATAAATGTTCCAATGAATTTCAATGTGTAATTATGATGTTCTAATTATCAATTTAGCATCAGTGGCTGTACGGATTATTTTGCTGATACAGAACATGAAGCATTCTCCATAACTCGATCTATTTTTGGATCATTAAATTCTGATTCACCAATGTTATGTTCAGGTAGGACACTGGAGCCACAAACCTTGTTTTAATCCATGGAGTGTCAGCCAATGTTCAGGGCACAATGCGGCATGATACGCAGATACGGCTTACTGGGTTAATGTTTGCTTTAGCTCACATGCTTGCCTTGAATAGTACTATTCACTTGACATTTCATAATTGATATGCTCTGTTTGCAGATTTTGAAGAACCTTTACACAACTCAGAAGACCTCGGACCACTTTCGATATTAGATGAGAGTCAAATACTGCCAGTCCATAAGGTAGATTAGTTAAGATACTATCAACTATCCAGAATAAGTAAAGTTGTTTAATTTAGCTTCATTTTTTAGGCATTTGTTTGCATGGTATTATTTTTTAGGCATTTGTTTGCATGGTATTATTTTTTAGGCATTTGTTTGCATGGTATTATTTTTAGATGATAGCAAGAATTGTTGATGGCAGTAGATTTCATGAATTCAAAACAAAGTTTGGCCCCAGTCTAGTTACAGGCTTTGCTGCTATAAAAGGGTAAATAATAAATATCTGTAAAATTTAATAGTCAATTCACTGTTTTGAAATCTCTATGTATTTTTATATAGTAATATATTTTTTAGTTAATTAAATGCACCTTTTTCATTTAATTGTCTTAGAACTATTGTTGGTATTCTTGCTAATAACGGCCCAATAACGTCACCTGCGGCAGCTAAGGTAAATGCATTAGTTCTAACTTGGTTGTTCCCGTATATTTAAACCTAGGAAGCCTAGAAATGGGGGTTTTCACAAAACACTATCGTGCAGCAGATGATGGTCAACCTGTAGTTATCAGAGTGAGAAAATAATGTTCATTCTTTTCATTACATGTAGTAGTCTTGTATTTGGTGGGAATGGTGGCAAAGTTCAATTCAAAGTTTAAATGCAATTTAAAAGATGTAGTTTAATTTTCCTGATCACTGTCTACTGTAATGCTGACCACAATCCAGCAATATGCTAACCTCTCTTATTTTGATTGGTTTTCTTAGGGCGCTCATTTTGTTCAGATTTGCTGTCAACAACACATTCCTCTTGTGTTTCTCCAAGACACTCATCCTCACATTCACACAGATGGAGAGTTAGCAAAACAAGTTGGCAAGTTGATATCTGCTGTCTCATGTGCTGAGGTGAACACAATTTTATTTAATCTTTAATCTGCCTCATCAGGCAGTCACGTCACACTGATATGTTCAACTAATCTGAAGATTATCCCGTACTCATTTTGTTGAAATTCGAATGCAGGTACCAAAGGTGACTGTTATAATAGGAAGATCGTATGGTCCAACGAGTTATGCAATGGTTTGTTGAATTTTCTCATTGTTGTAATTATGGTTTGTCAAGGATCTCACTATAGCTTTCCTTCTTGTATAGCAACGGTTTTCAACTGGTTTTCTCATGTGTCCCCGATTTCACATGATTGAATTACCACGTCCCCTGAACAGAAATTGCCCACTGAAGTCTATCAAAAACACGAATTTCGAAATAGTTAGTAAAATAGTAAATGATTTAAATTTTAAAGAATAGATAGAAAGTCAAGCAAACATGTTTATAGTACAAACTATTGTATTCAACTACTGTTTTCTCAGTCCTAGACCAGTTTGTGTCCCCTAGGAATTTGCCAAATGTCCCCTCTCGGGGACATGTCCCCCAAGTTGAAAACCGTTGTTGTATAGTGTAGTATCATCATTGTGTCTGTCAACATATCTCACTGTAGCTGTCCTTCTTGTATAGTGTAGTCGTTCTTTGCAACCGTCTTTCCTATATGTCTGGCCTACAGCGCAAATATCACTTGATGAACCTAACAAGCTGTCGGTATGTACTGAATCTCTTTTGAAATTTGTATAAATCACACATTTTACCCATAACGCAAGAACTCCCTTCCTTTACAAACGCAAGAACTCCCTTTTCAAAAAGCAGAACTCCCTTTTCAAATAGCAGAACTCCCTTTTCAAATAACAGAACTCCCTTTTCAAATAGCAGAACTCCC